AGAAACAGCACAATTCCACCATGGTTGACAGTTGATAGTTCGATTTCGCGCCTTCTACATCATAAAACAATTGCTCACATCAATTCACAGATTCATTGCCCATCGAAAGTATCTGCAAATGGCGGCGTTTAAAGGAACTCGAAATCTGACCAATCAGGAGATCGATGCCCCTCATGACTTGGCTCTTATTAGAGGAGCACTAGCAGAGCGGATCCGTGAGCGCTCGCTGCTTTCGTGTATTCTTCTAGAGCATCCAATAGCAGCGAGCGCTCACAGATCTGTTCCGCAACAGTCGAGTCTGCTGAACGCGATCCATGTTATCCCTTCCATGCTTCCATCTCTACATCTCTCCATCGTAATTTGTTAAAAAAAAGACAAGTAGAATACAAAAAAGGACAGAACAGTCAATCATTGAGCAAAACTGTTTTTTTTTTACTTTCTTTGTCTCGCTCAACAAAATGATCGAGAGGGCACGTTTAGCTGGCGAACTGAGTTTTGGATAAGCCTAGTTTAAAGTCTTTACTTTCGGACAGTTTTATCTTAACATTTTATACGTAAAACGGCAATAATTGGTAATGTCGTATATAAACATGCTATACACGTTTGTGTTGTAACAGTTCTTTATTTCTAAACGGTAGAAAATATTTTTACTTACGCAAGAGTGCAAAGAGGGACTGACGGAGCCTGCATGCGTTGCAATAATTAGATCCGCATTCGCTGCGCGCAAGCAGAAAAGCCTACGCTTAGAAATGAATTTTTTTATCTCTTTCAAGGTAAATCCATTTTTGGCATATACAACAAGTGATCGGTGATTCTTATAGTTTTCACAACGCGTCAGAAGGAGCCCGATCTCCGAGAATCTATTTTTTTTTTTAAGAATTTTGAGAAACAATCCCGTAAACAAAATTTCCAGAGATTCCCAAGAGTTGTCTACTCAAACAGAATTAAAAAGAATATTTTATTAGTATTTAACTAAATTATTTGCGAAGACCTGAAAATATCTAGAAACCGAAAATTCAAATCGACATAATTTCAAATTCTAAAAATTCAAGAAATTGCAGTAAAAATTCTAGGATATAATTTTCTCAAAACAAAAAAAAAGAAACTGAAATATGACAGCAAAATTAAAGATTTTAAAAACCACGAAAAAGCTAAATAAAATCCAAATTTGAAATTCATGGCTCCCTATCACGTTGAATATATAACATACCTCCTAAAATCTCGAGAATGCATCCTCACATTTTGAGTCCAGCAAACCGTTATTATTTACAATATGCATGTGTACAGATTAAAATCGCTAATCACCTCGTCTTAAACCACAAACTGGTTAGTTATTGAATGAACCTAAAGTCGCAATTGTGAGGTCTCACTAGGAGCAGAGAGGACCGAAGATAACGCGTTTCGTTTTCTCTTTTGTGCATGAGTCTTCTCCTCATCTCCCCCACGCCCTCATGTTGCGTATGTTCGAAGGGGCGACGTATACGATAACCTCGACAGTGTACCATTACATCACATTGTATTGGTTGCGTTCAGCAGAGAAACCTAATCACTTAACGCGCTTAGTGATTCTTTAATATGATTGATTTTTATACTTAAATCCAGCGAAGAACTAAAGGCAAGAACCAGGGTTTGATAAGGTGGACCCAACTCAATAAAATCTGGCAAGTTTTATTGGATTAGACCCACTAAAAAAACCCACTTAAAAAATTCAAAAATCGTTCAAAAAATTCAATAAAAATTTAATAATAGTAAATACTGCCACGAAGCGCGATAGAAAATAATAGAAGTTCAAAATAATAGAAGTTTTCGACGTGATGATTTTTTTCTTTCAAATTATTTGGTTTTATATTTCAAAATTGTCAATTTTTTCCGGTTTTTTTACGATTTTTCCAAAGTTTTCTGTTTGCATAAAAAGCATCGAAAAAAATATTTTTAATGTTGAAACATTTCTAAGTTAAATGCCGCAAAACAGACCTCGGTATTTTTTATTTAGCCGGAAAAAATTAATAAAAAAATTATTTCCGGAAAAAACCGTTTTTGCGATTATTTAAAAAATGGAGGATGATGGAAAAAAACGAATAACAGTCGTTTTCAGGGCATGAAAATCCTACAGAAATATCTTTCAAAGTTCAAAGTACAAGACCCTCCCTCCACTAAATTTTGTCGGCCTGCGTTATTAGTGGACTATAAAGAATAATAATGCATAAAACCCAATAAAATCCAGGTTTTTCAATCACTGACAAAAACCAATCATGTTAAAAAATCACTAAGCGTTAACTGATTATAGTTTTCTCTGCTGAACGCAGCCATTATATTATAATTTGAGCTCCGATAATGTTTTTTAAGCTATGTAAACTGTATAGATAGAGGGTACGGTCCATTTAATGCTACAAATACGCTTCGAAGCATTTGATTGACCAATCAGAAGAAAGAATTTTGTTGATTAACCAACACTTATACTATTATATTTTTATTATATTGATATTTATAGCATTAAATGGACTGTAGCAAGAGACGTACTTTACATTGACCTAATTTACGTCGTGCACTTGATATGAGTACTAAGTAGTATCTTTCTATTGAATTATCTTAACTTCGGTGATACATTACGTGTAAACATATACATGATATGTGTATTTAATTTTTCATTTTAATGCATACTTAACCAATTTAGTACATCATTCTTTAAATATATTGCTAAAATTAAAATAATTTAATAGGAAGTTACTAGTTAATACGCGTATCGAGTGCTCGGTGTAAAAGGGGTTAATAAAGCATAGGTCCATTTAGGGTTCAATCCTCTTGGAGCTATAAATGTTTCGAAGCATTTGAGTGATCAATCGGAAAAAGAATTTATTGATTGATCAATAAAAAAATGCTTCGAAGCATTTGTAGTATGAAGAAGACCGTAGCCTTAATTATTTAATGGACGACGCGTATTTTTCTTCTTGCACGCTTATACACGTTGAGAATTAACGACTAACAACGACAACGTCTGTTCTGCCTGTCTGCCAGCCCGTTCGCTGCAGCAAGCTCGTAGTAAGTAGCAGTTAATAACATCATGTAAGTGTAAGTAGCTCAGTGTCGGTTCGTCGCGAAGACCCCTTCGGTTTTTTTCTTTCCATAATCTTTAGAGCGAAAAAGAAAATAAAAGAATCATGCATACTTATTCAAAGAACTCGAAGCCTCGAGGACTGAAAGTGACTAGAACTTTTTACATTTCCAAGAGACCAAAGGCCAAAAATTTAAAAACTCTCCTGAAACCGCGCTATCTTTGCGACGATCCAACATTACAATTCATCGCAGTGCTGGATCTTTTAAAAACGATATCTTAGGTACTTCCGACCTCTAGAATAAGTGATCTTTTTGATAATCGAGAGTTCATTACGGCGATTCTATTAAAGCTCCTGAGTAGTTACTTCAGCTATATTGAATCGTGATGTCATAAGTAAGAAATAACACATTAATTTTTCTTGCATACCATTTGTAAATAAAAAGAATTTGGATGAGACGAAATGATGAGATCGTGTTAAAATATTTGTAAAAATGGACAAAGGCTCTCCTTATCTCCTCTAATAGTCAGTAAAGAGTTGAAAAAGGCTCGTGAAATAAAAATAGGCTACGCATGCGCATTGAGTAAAAACCAGTAAATGCACTTTACGTGTTTTTTACGACTATTTCCTGACTGTCAAGAGAGATAAGAATAGTTTTCATAAGTACCCATTTTTTATAAGTGTTTTAAAGCAATCTCATTTCATTTCATCCAAATTCTCTTTATTTACAAATGACATACAACAAAAATCAACATGTGTCGTTTATGACACATTTCTCGCTTATGACTTTACGATTCAATATGACTGGAATGAATACTCAGGAGCCTTAAAAAATGTTTTTAATAAATTAAATAATACTTTAATAAATTGTATCTCGTAACGCAAAACAATTTCGCAATTTGCAAATGTTTTAATGTCGGAAAATAATAAAATGATTGAGTTTTTCGTAACTCAATGGGGCAGTATGTTATAGTAGCTGTAATATAACAAAAAAAAATGATCGATGTTGATGCAATCGATTTTTCGAGCAATGCAACATAGCAATGTTGCTTTAATTGAAATATTATACAGAATGGTATAAAAACCATTCGAACTTGCCTTTAGCAGAAAAATTTGCAAGGAATTAAGTAACAAGAAATACATGCAATATTAAGTAATAATTTTTAAATATAGACATATAATTTGATCAAATCATAAGTTGCTAAAGAGTCGAATGAGATGTACGATATCAATGTATAATTTTTAATAATCATTAATACTATTTAACGCATGATTCATAGAGATAACTCTTACTGCAGTTCACAATTGATAAAATCTCTAAACTGTTGTATTAAAAAAATTGTTACTCAAAAAAAGTATCATTTGTTATAACTTGTTATTACTTAGTTTTTCGCCAATTTTTCTCTTGTAGTATTTATATAATTAAATTTTTTGCGCACTCTGCATATGCGCTATAATTCACATAAAACTGTATAATCGCGCTATGTGTGCCCATGAAATAACATACCCTATAACTTTAGCGGAAACGCGCACAGGTAAGAGTATCATAGCTCCTTGTCTCCTTATATACATATACACACCCCCAATGCGATGTAAACATCAGTATTCACGAGCAATTCATTTAGAGCTCCTAATGATTTTTAAAGCGGTTTAGAAAGTGCGCAACGCGTACCTTACACTCTCTCACTCTTGTTTATCTTGCTTTTTTTAAATCCCTCTCCTTTGTCTCTCATTTTCAGACAGCTCAAAGATAGCAGTGTAAAAAAGGATACTGTGAGTCCTTGCACGGCTGCTCATATTAGTTAACTTTGTTTATACAAAAGATTTCCTAAATAAAGCTACGTAAATTCGGAGTATTGGACGCGTTTCCGGAATGCATAAATTTGTGTATTCTTTCCCTTCTTTTTCTCTTTTTTCTCAAATTGCTTTCCTTAGAGTGTCTCTCGCTTTTTACTTTCTTCTCTCTTCAAGAACGAAGCGGAAGAGTGCTGGATATTAGCGTTTAATTCGTTTTGTTTACATGAGACACGTGCAATGCACGCATCTGCCGTGGCAGTTTTTTCTTCATCTCTCTGTTCTCTCTATCTCTTCATATCCATCTATTTTATTATTATTATTATTATTATTACTATTATTATTATTGTATGTTGCGAATGTCCAACGTGACAAATATACAAGCTAAACAAAATGCCAGAAATGAAAAATAAGGGAAGCATTTCGAGTTGTTGCAAAGATATAGCTTCCAAATTCTCGGAATATATAGAAACAGCTTTAAAAGATCTTTAAAAGTCTTTTGTATCTTCAAATGCCAAATGCAAATTTTTTTTATATCTTAATGTGACCATTTAAGAAAAGTTCCCTTAAAATGTGAGTTGCTGAGTTGTAAGGGTAACATCCAGATTGAAAACCTTAGGTCGTCCCATGGATTCCTCTGTCTAGGAAACTTTTGCCGACTTTTGGCGACAGACAATCCCAATGGCTCATCATCACATGAATGAAAAAGAATATTCATGCAAAACAATATCGGAGACACAAATAAAATTCTAAAGCACATACACGCGCGCACACAAGTCTTGAACGATGCACGATCTCCGGTCTGTTCACTCGACGAATGACGCGAAACATCGAGGACACGGTTGATCGCTACTGACGGTGGTTATCCCCGAGCGAAAGGTAAGTCCGCGAGGTATCCGGCTCATTCCTCCTCAATAGATTGTACTCTTAGAAGTTGACTAGGACTTAAAGCGGCTGCTAGCTCGAGTCGCTTGAGGTGGACGCACGCGGCTGACGCTTGCCACGCCTTCGGGGGTGCGAGTGGTCCTAGCTGCTAGTAGACGCGATAGGGCTAACTGGGCTCAGGGGACTGCGCGCCGAATCCCTCAGGACACCAGTTAATGTTACTACTAGCTTACGGCTACCAGCGTGATCGCGGTGTTCACCTAACCAAATGCCCTGCCATGTTCCCAGTGCCAACTTGCCGTCGGTGATTGGGATGCTCAACGATGAGCCCAGGAAACAAGCCTTTACATGCGCCGGCTGTAAAACATTCAGAAATATTTGGTATCGCTTGTTTTTAATCACTTTATTCATGTGTACACTCTCTCTCTCTCTCTGTGTGTGTGTGTGTGTGTGTGTGTGTGTGTCAACATTACAGAATTGATTCTCTTCTGCAAAAATTTTTGATCATCAAATCAATCTATATAATTTGACAAAATATATGCATCATTATTTCAAAAATATCTACCAACACAATAAAAGAAAGATAATAACATTAGTTCCAATGTGAGGTTTTTTCCTACAAATTTTGGTTTATACAAGATTATTCATTCAGTAGTGATTTTGAAAGTATGTTACTTTTTAAAAGAAATATATTTTCAGAAGCATTATACTTACCATATCGTCAGGTCCTTCGCAGCTATGCCTGTACTCCAAACCTTCAGGAACTATTTTGTTAAGCATCATTTCCATATCGTCTCTCACATCTGGATCCCAGCTCTCATTTAATGCTAAACTAGCTGAGGTATGCAGAACTATAGAAAAAAAAAAAACAAATCTAATGTTTATCGCATTATTGAGAAATATCTTGTTCATTCTTTTTCATAATATATGTATTATACATATATATTGCAATAAACATGAATATTGAAATTAAATCTGTTAATCTATGAAAGCAAGTACAGATCAGATAGTCAAGTACTCACTTTGGATATGGCAGAGACCAATGGAAAACTGGCAGAGCTCAGGTACCTGCCTGAGAATTTCTTCAGTGACTAGATGAACGCCCCGGTGCTGTGGTCTAAGATTAATTTTGGTCTGGAACCAACCGGATCCGATCTGAATGCCACGGTTGGAGGAGGCCATGGCTGCACGAAGGTGAACAGTGCGAAGGCAAGTAGAAAGGGGAGGAAAAGATTCAACGGCTTCTTCGATACACGCTAACCGTCGATGAAACAGCGTCGGCGAGTTACTCCAAGTTACTCCAAATGGCCGATGCGGAATCCTATTTGGCGATGATTTAGAATAATTCGTCGCGTGCGCCACGGCCTAATCCGCCGAACGTTCGAGCCGCAAAAGAAGAATAGGTTAGGTTAGGTTAGGGATAAGAAAGAAAGAGATATGGAGAAGAGATGGACGGAGAGAGCGAAAGAGGGGAGAAGAAGAGTAAGATAAAAGGGAGGGGTAACGATTCGGGCGCTCAACGCACTGCGCGCACAAGTACGCGCGTCACACGAATACGCATACAGCGCAAGCTGCACCGACGCACGCACCGTACTCCACACAGGGCACTGCGGAGCACGCAAAGCATGAGGCCAAACTGGTTAATGGATTGAACCGAGTCGAACGCATGCACGCGCATACATGCACATACACACACGCCTTATCAGCTTATCACCAGTGTCACCACTGTCACCACTCACCTACACGCAGCGTTTGACAGACGGTTAACGGACGGCGGGTTCTAACGACTTGCGACGACTGCAACATCGCGAGACTGTGTCGATAGGTGAGGCTCGTGAGGGGCGGACGGCGTACGGCGTGGAACGGCAACCGCATGCAATCGCATGTGCCGTGCCTGCCGTGCGCTGCAGGCCCTTAACGAGCGATGGCGAGCAATTGCAAATGGCGGCGGACATTGGCGGACATATACGTATGTATACATGTAGGCATCGACGAGATACTATTAAGGAATCATACGTATTTCATCTACAAAAAATTGATTTTTTTTGTTCTTATTTTAAAAGGTACATATTTTAGAAACATTTTAAGATCAGAGCGAGCTCGATATTCAAATTATTGACGAAGTTACAGTTGCTTTAACGAAATTAGTCGGGCCCATGGTGGAAGAGATAACATGGTGTGTGCAGGTGGACGGTGTCTCTTTCTAATAACTGCAGCACAGATTCTTACATAACGCATAATGCATAGTGCATGAGGGAACCAATCGAAAAACGGGGAGCACAGACTCTTGCATAACGCATAAGAAAATCAACCAATCAGATTCCTTTATTTCCTTCCTTTCGTGAAATAAATTATTGTTGATTTTCTTATACTTCATGTTTCATGCATTATGCAAAAGTGTATGCTCCCCGCTTAATTCTTCTTTTCCGTGAAATGGGAAGAAAGGAAAGATTCTGATTAGTTTATTCCCTTATGCACTATCTATTATGCGTTATGCAAGAGTCTGTGCTACGGCACAGTATAAATACATACAGTATGAACACTAAGCGTCGGCATCTTTGATGTTGTGGGTCCCAGGTCACATGACTCATCGCCATATTGTGGATTGGAAAGGCGCTTATAAATTTGAGTTTTTGTAAAGCTACAGAATGATTTTTCTAAAAAAAAAAAAAACATAATTCAGTCGTGTCACGAAAATTGTTTATAGCAAGTATATTTTTAAATCAGAATTATATAATAATATAATATTAACGAACTTATTATATAAAAATAATATTCACATTAATAACAATAATAACAATATTAAACAGTAATAAGTAAATTAAAAATAATAATTGATGAAATACTATGTGAAAATTGTAATTGAATAATTATGTATGAAAAAATAATATATTGCATGAAAATTGTAATTAAATGTGAAGTTGTATTGAATAATACACATACACACACACACACACACACACACACACACACACACATGCATACTTTATTACGAAAATACTTTATCATATACAAATATAATAGTTTATATAATATAGCATCTCCGAAAAAATTTGATTTAATTTTTTATAAAACTTAATTTTAAACCCTTTGGCATACTTTTCTTTTACAAATTAAAAAAAAATTAAGCTTTGTACGACGTATCACGGCTCTCACCTGAGATACTCATGTTTGGTCTGATTTCCTTACCACGAGTCTCACACAATATTGTATTTTATTAGAAGAAGATCCAGCTAACCTAACCTAATCTAAGCTGCAATTTCAACTTGTTGAAGATAGCCACAGTTCTGGTTGGAAATCGACGAATGCGCACTAAAAATTGGGGATCACATAAAAAGTTCAGTGTCCATACTGTGCATACTTATACTGTAGCTACGGCATACATCTCTCCGCCATCTCTGTTTTCCTTGTCTGACATACTGGCTATGTTCCAAAATTGACTGCTACTGAAAATCTATAGTGCACGTAACGTAAACTGTCGCATCTGCAGTAGTGGCAGTAAATTTGGAACACAACCACTATGGAAGCTTTCCAGCAAAAGATACAAGTTGACACAAGAATCATTCTAGCTTTGTTCAATAATCAGTAAGAAACAAAGACGGAATGACTCTTATGTTGATTTGTACCTTTGCTGGAAAGCTCCCTTTATAATGCATCTTAGTTTCTCTGTCTAACCTTCATAATTTCTGTCTTAAATTAAATATTGAATAAAAAATTAAATGGATAATGACAGTGCCAATAATGAATATGGAATAAGTAAAAGAATATCACAATGCAGTAAATACCATATTAATTATTATTATAACATAATTAAAATTATAATACTTAAATAATATAAGTTATTAGTTATAAATTAAATATGTTAGCACATGTATTTTGGTTAAAAATTAAGTATAGTTAAGTTAAAAATTAATTATGGCGTAAATAATAAAAAATTTTTCATGCATGAATATATATAAATATACATAAATATGTATAAACATGGATAAAAATATAATAATATATAATTGTATATGTCCATACATATCCATACATTCTTCTTTCTTTTGTGAAATTACTGTTTTATTATGAAAAAAAAAGAATAATATTAGAAAATATATATAATTGCAAGAATAATTTTCATATTGTTTTAGAAAAAATCATTTAACTAAGGAAGGATGTTTGAATATGTGTGGACATATTTCATATATAATTATATATGTATAATTCTGTTTGTGAATATATATATATATATATATATATATATGTTTATATATATTTATATATACATTCGTGAATGAAAAATTTTTTGCTGAGTATAATTTAAGTAATACACATAGCCATAAAGTAATGAATATTATTTAATAGCAAAATACAATGCGACGACTCTTTGTAAATATAGAATAGTTCAATGCAACAATAAGTAATACACATGTACATGTTATTATTATTATTATTATTATACGTTATTATTATTATATGCAAAGTATTCATAAAATATTTATGTAATAAACTTCTAGATGCAAAATCCTATAGATTTTGAAGAAATTATTCGAAGAAATGATCATGCAAATCCTTCTAGTACTGTTTACTGCATTTTCCTATTCACTTTTCTTGCTTTAAAATAATAGCTACAAATATGGTATATATGCATGTACATATATAGTATATATACAATTCACATTGAATTATTCAAGCATTAAAGATGTAGCTTTGACTCTTAGACTTGAATATTCTTACTTAGTATTTTCTTGCTTTGCTGTCGAAAATCTTATTGAATGATTATTATAGTCGACTTCTAATGTATTATACTGAATAATTACTTATTGTAATTCAACAATTTAGCGTCTAACACCAACAAAGCATATTCATTGTGGCCCAAAAATTATTGAAATAACATCATTTTTAGTATGATCACATGCAGGGATGCATGTGATCATAAAATTACCGGATATCGGATATCCGAAAAAAAATGTAATATTGGAAAAAAAGTCTGTAAGGAAAAAATTGAAATTTTATAGCAATATATAAGATATAAATATGCATATTTTTAGAACATTTACATGATGAAAAATCAGCAATTTAATGATATAAAATTATTGTTATCTACATTTTCAATGAAGGCTTTTATGTTATGAAAAAGTGTATGGCATGTTGGAAATAATTATTGATCTACAATGTATGCGATTTTTTCCGAATTCAAAGACAATAATCGGAAAGCATACACGGCGAACTGGAGCACCAATCAGAGTTAAAGAGGTTTGTACTCGAATTGCTCGAGTATAGGCATCAGCGACTCAAATCAATTATATAAACGAGAGGAAGAATTACTATATATACCAGGAATAGCTGATTAGGCTGAGATAGCTGTAGGTACAATTAATTAATTATAGTAAACCGTATATATAGTTGTAACTTTAAATTTTCCCCAAAATATTTTTCAACGACATTGACGTAATATTTCGGAAACTAAGGATCCGATTAACTTGAACTTTTGTATGTCCATTCAGTATGTTTTTTTATTATTGAAACCACGGAATTTCTTCTATTCTATATTATTATATAAAAAAAAATGCGAATCAAATTTGTAGATGGAAATTGTTACGTCCAGCGGACTCTCACAACCTTTTTTTTCTTTTTCTTATGGAGACTGGAGTTGTTAATACATAAGACAGTTAGAAAGTAATAAAAATTTTTCTCATGAAAAATTAAGAGCAAAGATTCCAGTATCTCCAGTATCTTTTAACGTCAGTTAAGATAAGATGGGAGTCGATGGATGCGGGGGGAGGGGGACTAATACGGCATCGATGACACTCTCGTTGGACACCGCTATTAAGGAGACGATTAATATGAGTATGAAAACGCGAGGCTGACGCCTAGACATTTTCCTAATAGTGAAGTCGCGGACGATTCTCACGATGCCCGCGATCATAAAATACAGAAGTGACACGCGACATCCAGGGGAGATGTTTGACGGTCCCATGCCGACACTGCACGTGCGCTCATTTTACCCGCTGCACGTGCATTTTCTCATAATTTAAGAAAAAAGCAGACACTTGTTGATGTAAGATAGACTCCTTTCCTCCCCCATAATATACCCCAAATTTTGACCAATCCAGAAGCCAGAAAAGTGTCCCACTTAACTAGATCCCTACCAACCAAGGGAGAATCGGTATATAAACCGCGATTCCGTAGCCCTCGGGGAGAACTCTTTGATTTTCCTCAATAGTCATTTTGATCAATAGTCATTTTAATCAAAAGACCAACTATTTTAATTTAAATAACATTCTCCTTGTATTCATAGGCGTTAGCCCGCGATTACACTTTCTCCTCTCCTCAGTCACTTAAATTCACTTCCAAGACCGAAAAGAAGAACACACGAACGCACTGACACAACGATCTCATGGCACACTGACTCAGATTCGGCCTTTAACGAATTTGTTCGACTCGTGGTCCGTTCAGCGACCTCAAGAGAGGCTTCCACTTCGTCCCCCTTTCGATGGCACTTCGCTTCATTCCCGGCTCCTCGAGACTTTCAGGACGGAGCAAAGTGCCTCCCATTTGAGTCGCTCCTTCCCCTAACTCCCTTACGGTCCGAAGCTTGGACGCGATCCAAACGATTGTTCGGTTCCTGTTGCGTTCACCTCCATGCATGCGGAGTTTGGATGTAACAAAATCAATATCGGTTTTTGAAAACATTACCCGTTTTAACAATTTTCGATTTTTTTCTTATATTTTAGTTCCAGTAATAGTGTTACTCTTACAATTTATACTATATATATATATATATACACACATACCATATTTATGTACAAGATGTCTCAGACCATCCGCACATCTATTTTATCTTGGAAACAGAGCATTTTAGAAAAAACCGTTTCAGACAAAAGTTGTGGGATTCTAAATGATCTATTTAGTGATGAATCTTGGGTAATGTCACCAAGATCAGAGCAATGTCACTTTAAATTTTTTTAAATGGAACTTTCTATTTTTTATTGCATATTCTTGCACATCTCGAGAACTTTCCAAAACACTAAATAAAATATTTTTTCATGAAATACTTTTTGAGTTATAATGCTTGAAAGTTACAGTATCGCCAGCATTACCCAAAGTATCCGACCGACGGCTAAAACCTCTTAAATGTTGTTCAGAATCATGATCTGAACAACATTTATCAAAATTAAGGTCATTGGAGGCTACAGATCTATCAGTCTCACTTTCTTCATTTTGAACATTGGAGAGACTGATTGATAAGTATCTGAAAAACAATGCTCTTCTTATTCGATCGCTGAACTCCTCCCAGTACGCCTACAGGAAGGGCTGATCTACCGATACAGCTCTGCACTACTTAGTGAACGAGGTTGAGACTCAGCTGACTGTAAGGGGATACACGTTACATACAGGCGTCTTCATTGACATTAAAGGGGCTTTTGATAACACCTCAATTTCGACGATGAAGGACGCCATGATAAGACACAAAATTTCAGGCGCACTTATGAACTGGACTCAAAGCATGCTGGAGGACAGAAAACTGACCGTCAGTCAATAAATGGCAATATCATCATTGAGAGGCGTACGGTATCAAGCTGCTCGCAAGGGAGAGTTCTCTCTCCTCTGCTATGGTGCCTGGTGATACAAGCTTCTTACAATGCTGTGAGAGAATCTGGCTTTCAGATCTATGGCTACGCAGCAATAGTCAGGAGAAGCAACTTTCTTACGACTCTCAAGGAACGCATGGACGAAATCTTGATGATCGTGTAAAATTGGTGTAGGACGAGGGAACTGATAGTAAATCCAGAAAAGACCTTAGCTATGGTTTTCATCAGGAAATACAAGCCCGAACAAATAGAGCCTTTGAGGCTTTGAGGCAAGGTAATTAACTACACTAGCTTAGTATCTAGGAGTATATCTGGATCCTAAGCTGAGCTGCAAAACATCTCGAAAAGGAAAAAGCTCTATGTTGCAGAAGAGTCATGGGCAGGAACTGGGGAAATAAAAGGGCTATACAAAATAATATTATTACCAAGATTGACATATGATGCGATTGTTTGGTGGCCAAGGGTGAAGAAGATGGAGATGAGGAACTTGCTCGAGAGCCTTCAGAGGGGATACCTGAAGGCTGCGACAGGGGCCATGAAAACCACATCTACCGAGGCGCTGGAGGTGGCACTCAGTTTTCCATTCTTGCGCCTAGTGATCATCAGCATAGCAAGAGTATACAGGATGAAGTGTCAGGGGGAGGAAACCAGACTTGGCCACACTAGGCTGGGTCTCTCCGACAAGTCCCCCTTCACACTGAAGCAAGATAGGATTCCAGGAAATACCAACTGGAAAAAACCTTTAAGGTTCGAATGGAATTGGAGGTTCGAATCAGCTAGGGAAGACTGGCAAGATTCCAACTTTCTAATCAATCCAAACGTGAACATATGGTATACAGATGGATTGAGAGCAAATGATCGTTTTGAGACGGCCCCAACGCCAATTATGAAGAAAACACATCGATAGGAAAGCTGTCCATGGTTTTTCAAGCTGAGGTACTTGTCATCTCAAGATGTGCAGAACTCCTGATCGATAGAAGAATCAGGAACTGTATTTGTATCTGCTCGAATAGCAGAGTAGCTATAAATATACTTGCAAAAACTTCTACAGAACCTCTGTAGTTTGGAACTGTATGCAAGCCCTTGACAAATTAGGAGGAAGTCAAGTTATCTTAGTATTGGTCCCTGGTCATCAGGGAATACTGGGCAACGAGAGAACAGACAGGCTAACAAAGCTGGGGACAGAAATGGACCTGGCTAAACAGACCGTCGGAATTCCCTTCGAAGAAATGTCGGAGCGGGAGCACTTAAACTCCTGGAAAGAAACAAAGAGCTGCTGGCGAGCCAAGAAATTTATGGAAAAACTCAATCTGACCAGAACAAAAGAACTGGCAGCAATGGGAAGAGAAAAACTGAGAATGGGCATAGGCCTTCTTACAGGACACTTGCCCCTCAGAGCACACCCATTCAATATAGGACTGATTGAGTAGAAAAACTATTGACTATGTGGAGAGAAAAACAAAGACAGCGTGCACTTCTGTGTTGCTGTCCTATGCTTGCTTGCGAGAGATAAAAGAAATCCTAGGACTATATGTTTCTAACACCCGAAGATCTAGACGGAGCAAAGATAGACGACCTCATAAGTCTGATACACGGAGCGAAACTGGGCTTAGTTGCACTAAAAACAAACAGGGAGTGACAATGGAACTTTACAGATCTAGGTTACGTTAGGCGGCTACTATAGCCCTAGCTGCAATATTACTACTATTACTACTATTATTATTACTACTATAGGAACATGAAAAAATATTTTTATCTATTTTGTACGTAAATAAAGTCTCATAAGAAAGTTTTATATTATTATTATATAATATATTATATAATATAACTCATTTCTTTTTAAAAAATTCCTAAAAATCATGTAATTTTTCACCTTCCAAACGAGAGTAAAATTTAATGTTTATTTATAACTTTTGATCGAAACATTTTTCAAAGAAATATTTCAGATAAAATTTGCTTGTTTTTTATCGTAGACTCCAAATATATAACAATTTAGAATTTGGAGTTATGAAGTATCCTTTCATTTTCAAAGGGATAACGAAGCGAATTTTCGTTTACCTAGTTAGAAAGGCGAATACATGAAACTTTCTCATGAAATAATTTTTTAATGCAATGAATATTTTTAGAATCATTAACTTAAGTAACACTTTACATGGACCATCCTGTACAATTGTAAATAAAATTATATATAATATATACAGGATGTTCAATGAAACGGTCTGCACGACTTTTCGGACACCCGACAATTTAAAAAAAAGTTGAAAGGTGAATATTTATTTGTCTTATACAGGCTACAATATGCAATAAAAAAATATTTAAAAAAATTTTTTTCATAAAAAAATCAAAGTTATCTTAAATTTTTTAAATGACACCATACAATTTTTTCCATAATATTTGTAGGAGCGCGTAATAATTTTTGGCTGTTATACTTCTACAAAAACTGTGAAACGAAATCAATAAACCAATTGTCTGGATTTGCTACTTCATCAATTTATAAGCCAATATAGCCAATAACATTTTTATATAATATATTCATTTAAGTCTAATGTATGTCACATATAACTATTAAATCTAAAAATGTTTCCTCTTTCTTATTTGCTTTGTCTTATCCTAAAATCCCAAAATCAATATGTGTAATAAGCCTTAAATCTTAAAAAGTTCATCAATCAAAGTCGATTATTTTTATACTCATTCTTTTCAACTGTAAATGATTAATTTCTTAAGGCTCAAGACTTATTATACCTATTGTGTTTCAGAACTTATAGTATATTGAAGACTTATACTATATTAAAGTTTGTGAATGTGTTATCATCAGGAATGCATCGGACATCCGAAAAGTATTATCCGGCATTTTTTTGCTATCCGATCAGATAATCGAATATCGTTAGGTATCCGAGAATATATCTAGTTGAAATTTTATATCATTAAATTGATTTTTTATTATATAAATTTATTGTATGTTTTGTAAATAAATATGCTCTTATATATTGCTGCAAAATTATAATTTTTCTCTATAGTTATCATCTCTATTGATAATCAAACTTGAACGATAACATTAAATTCATAATCATTATTACTATTTTTCTCTCATAATCGCTTTTTCATTTTGCTCTTTTTTCTTGTTTTATTCAGCTGTTTTTTAAACATTGTCGTGGAATCCGGTCGGATATCCAGCATCCGACTTGAAAAATTGCCTTTCTAAATATCCGATGTAATATTTTGGATATCCGATATCAGATAATTTTACAATCCGATGCATTCCTAATTTCGGCCATAAGACTATAATAATTATTATAACAATATTATATTATTGGGAATATATTACATAATTTATAAAATACCTTAATTATAATATACATTAAAGCAGTTTCATTATTCTCTAAGTCGTGCTAATCTTTGTGTTAATTCATCTTGCTCCTGGCTTACTGCTGTTGAAGTGCCAATACTGCCAAGTTGACCTGATGGAAGTTCCATGTTCAATTCCAATCTGCACAAAAATAAAGTCAAGTAATTTTATAACTATCCAATAAATAAAATTTTTTTCAAATACAATTCAAAGTAATAAGTTTTTGTTGCTTTAAATAATATTTAAAATAATTCCTCTTTGTATTATATATATATAAGACAGGAATTTAAGCTCTTTGCTTAATCATAAAAAACTTGAAATAACAATTAGAAATAGATTCCTACCCAGCTTCGTCTGCAACTTGCTGCATCAGAGAATCTACATCATTCTGGGGTACATTAGTAGTCGTAGTTTGCGACATAGCGTTCTCCATGTATGAACTTTGCACATCTAGATCCTCAAATTGGCTCTCAAATTTATCCATAAGTCCAGAGATCTTCTCTAAGTTCATTGATTTCATAGCAGCATCCATGGCTTTGACAACACCAGCCATGGATTGAGTAACTTTGCGAGTTGTCAATGCAGTCTGCACTCTACTAGCTACTGCATCTACTCTGGCGCTCATTCTAAGATAATTCAAGGCTTGATTCTTCTGTCGAATTGCATTCTCTGCATGAATGCGAGCGCCTTCCATATTTCCCTTTTGTATTGCCTTCTTGATCTTTGTCTTCTCTATCTTCTCTTCCTTCTCGCATTTCTTTGAGTTTCTTTCTAATTCTTTCACCGCAAATTTTAAATTAAATAGATTCTCTGTATTTTTTGGAAATTAAGGAAATTTCTACTATAACTTGCTTTGTTTATAAATTGATATAAATTATAAATAGTTTGATTTCAGAAAATAGGAGAGTTACTATTCCATTACTTTTTATAATAACAATTTGATAAAGTTTTGCAATTTTGTATGATTATACAAAGTAACAGTCATAAATAAAAGTTGAGAAAATCACTTAGAAAAATAACTTGCACCATTACGAATTTACTTACTGAAAAAAGTAATTTGTAACCAAAAATGAGTTACAAGCCATGACTAAAACACGAGTTACAAGTGCCGAGTTAAATTCTTCAATAACAAGTGAGTTTTCAAATTTATTACAAGTATAATGATTGAGTGACTTCCCAACGTTAAATGTCAAAATGACAAGATATAGACAAAAAAATATTTTGAATATAAGATCAGATTGAATATCACCTACAATCCAATTTATACGAGTACATCATCAACTGTTACAAATATATGTATAAGAATAAATTATAAATTTAGAATTTTTAGGTTTAACAAACCTTGTTAGCATATCTTTTGAAGATGCTTTCATATTAATTTGTTGTTTTACATTTAATTTCATAAGAAAAAACGTTTTACATTTCAACAACATTTCAGTGTACAATTATAATTTCAAAGGATACTTTCCATCTGAGAGACGGACATAGCTGACTGTTCGACCCCCGTTGTGATGAGAATATAGTTCTAACCTCGAAGATAAGATGAATTACCAAGTTTTAACACTGATCTTTGCCGATACCGTGTAACGTAAATAAAGTAAAAAAGTAGCACGAAATTGTCACAAAAAAATGCAAGTGTACACACAATAACACATTACTTGGACTTGAAGAAACGTGCTATCTTTTGATTGACATGAATCCTCTTTTTCTTCTACAAGAAGTATAGAGAATAGGAGGCCGAACTAGATAGGTTTCTGAATTGATATGCGTATTGATAGTGCTCGGTAGATGGTGTTTGAATCGCAAAACTGTGGCATTGCAAGCGTTAGTTGCGGTACTCGAGTCAGCTCTTCTCTCTCTCTCTCTCTCTCTCTCTGATGTCATGACGTTCTGCGTGCGAACTTTTTGTAAATCTCTGCGATCTTTAGATTTTAAGTTAGTGCTCGGTAAGATTAATCATCACTTTATGTTCATTGCGAGATCGGCATCGATTATGTCGTTAGGTAATTACTCGCGCCGTCAGATAAATGTTTATGTTGTAGATTTTTTAGTTTTTCGTATTCTAACCTAATAATATACCGATATCCGTCAAAACGCACGCAATTACGTCTCTACTCTTTCGATCTGTACGTTCCAAATATTTATTTATTTGAGTATATATTAAATCGCTTTAAGCCGGAATCAGACTACGCATTGAAGAATGAGATTAAAGATGGAAAGATTGAAGTTTGACCAATCAAAATAAAAGGAGCCAAAACTTCTTTGTTCTCATTGGTTCAAATTTCAATTTTTAATCTTTGATCTCAATCTGTAATCCAATAGTTTGATTTCGGCCTAAGGACTATTCCACACAAACTTACATAGCCGCAAAACGTATCTATAAATCATTCAATCGTATTTTATATTTGTCTTTATGACAGAAACGTGATAATTTTCTTTATGCAATTTTGTTTATGCGACTATGCAAATTTGTGTGGAATGGCCCTAAGTCAGAAACAATGGCCTAGTTTTCACCGGGAGGGTTTAATCCGAATCAGAATATAAGAATCAACCAATTACAGTCGAGTATTTCCCTGTTACAATCGAACGAATAGGGGAATCCTCGACTGTAGTTCCCTCTCGATACAATTAAAAAAAAACAGGGAATAGAGAACAGAGAATAAAAATTTCAATCTATTAGAAATCATATTGTGGCATACATAGTCTCTGATTGAAATTCTTATTCTCTGTTCTCTATTTCCTGTTCCTTTTATTGTGCGGAGCCCCTAAAGCCATGATCAGACTATGCATTGGAAATTGAGATTAAGAATTGCTCAATCACATTATGAATTGTATCCAACAGCAGTTAAGATTAAAATTAGTAAGAATATCGGGATAGCTAGAATTACACATAATAAAAATTATTGAATACGCATTTAATTGCATTCACGTTTTAATTATGTTGTATTTGTATTTCTTATAACTCTTTATAATTTATTATTTGTACACACACAATACATTTGATGAGATTAGTCACTGTAAGGCTAATCACTCAAGAAGTCGCTTATGAATAGAGACATTATTTGGCTGCTATCGATTTGGACGCTTTCAGCGCTTTTCAGTATTTCTATTCTTATTTTACGTCTAAGGAACGATAAAGATAAAATGATTACACAAACGCTTAAAGCGCGTAAATGTCCAAATCGACCGCAGCCTTTGACATCATGCTCTGAAAATAAAGCCGGTTCTACATTAATTGCAATCTGAAGTTTGGATTTTGAAATCAACGTTTCATTGGCTGTCGCAACAAACTTGCGATCAACTTACAACTAATATAGAACCAGCTTAATAGGAAAGACGTAAATTGTCATTGGGTGCATTCAGTATTACAATCGTTCACTGAGCGCTCAGTGAGCTTTTGCCTTTGATGGGCATATTCCTTTAGATTTAAAAATATAGACCAAACAGATACAAGATCATAGTACTGAATGCACCCATTAAAACTGCATGAAGAATGGAACATTCTTTATGTAAAATTGATATAACATCTACCATGCAAACTGCGAGAACGGTGTGGTGGAACGAAAGCGATATCTCGATCGAACTCATTCAGATGACCACTTTTGACCACGTTCGACGACCTCATCCATGTAACTTTGGCCTCCTATTCTCTATATTTTATGAACACAGCTGATACACGTAATCTCAACCGCTAACGAAATACAGAGTTCATTCTGCTAACAAAATCAACAGAGTACATTCTTTTTTTTCAATTTTGGCTCCTACCTTTAGTAAATCAGGGAGATTAATAGCGCCATACGAAGTACAAATTACTAGCGATCTTAAAGTTTAAACACAATAGGCAACAGTGAATAATGAGCCGTCCAATCAGAGCTCTGGAATATAATGTCGAACATATACACCAGAGCTTTATGATTGTATACTTAGATGACTTGTTATTCCCTGTTGCCTATTGTGTTTAAACCTTTATGCTATGTTTATGCAGCTCATGTCATTTTGTGTATGATGGCCCTATCCACACAACTTGCATAGCTGTATAAATATATGCATAAAAAAAATTATCCAATCGCATTTCTCCTATATAGACGCACGTAAAATGCGATTGGATAATTTTTTTATATATAGATAATCCTTAATCGCGACATTCGGTGACATCCATAGAAAGAGACGGTCGAGATTTTGAGAGAGACGCTTGCAAACTGAGCACACCATTGGCCTAGTTTCCACTGGAAACCGGATCAGAATGTAAGAACCAATCAACTACACTCGAGTATTCTCCTGTTACAGTCGAACGACAGAGGAATACTCGACTGTAGTTGGTTCTTACATTCTGATCCGGATTAAACCCTCGGTGGAAACTAAGCTCATGATTCTTACTTGTATCACGGAAAAGCATGCAACGGGCGTGAATCTATTGTAACAATAAAAATCGATATTGATTGAAAAATTGTGAATTTGTTATCTCGCGAAAATGAATGAGAATTTGCTAAGACGAATAAAAAACCAATTAAACGCAAAATTTTATGTGATGAATGACGCGTGGCTAAAAGATTGCGTCGAATTCTTTATTAGGGACAAAGTTTCTCATGAAGTATGTTATTAATTATTGCCAAATTGAATGCGTTTTGCATAATGCATCAATTTAACTTTAATTTGAAACGACAATGATAAGATGGTACATTATGTATAAAGCGGAACGCGTCGATTTTTATTTTGTTTTATATATATTTTTATTAATTAAAGTTAAGGAACAGTAACATGTTATTATTTTGAATCTTCTGACGAAGAAATGTTGAGCGAGAGAAATGTTTTGTTATAACTTGTTAACTCTTATCTCATCGAACGAAATTTTTTATAATTTGTGCTGTAATAAGAATTAAAATTAAAAATATATTTAAAAGTAATTAAAATATTTTACTTAATAATTTGTCACTTTATACTTGGTTTAATGCTTGAAATATATTTGACATGCGAAATCAGTTTGTAAAAAATAACAGTAGAAAAAAAGAGCTTATTAATTGTTAAGCAATATTGAACCACTGATTATTAAAATTCTTTAACAATTCAATGGTTCAATGTTAAAGAATTTTAACAACTCAGTGATTCAATATTGTTTAACAATAAGCTCTTTTTTTTCTGTTATTTTTTACAGACTGATTTCGCATGCAATACAAATATATTTCATGAATTAAACTAAATACAAAGTGACATGTTATTAATTTACAATTGCTATTGGCAATACAAGTAATAATAAAGACTCTAATTCCATTAATATTCGAGATAATTAACTTCTATTGATTATTATTACAGATAACAGATAAGCATATTTTCGAATTTGTAGAGGGCCAATGGCAACTGAGTGATCTGCGGGAGATTAACAATGAAAATGGATGTTTGCCAAGGAATCTGGCTCAGCAGACACACATTGTATTAACTGGTACCTACATCCTCCAGGTGAGCTGTTTGTGGTTTTTTTTTATCATAGCACATATTTTTTACCTTAGACATCCAAATGCAGATCATCTGATATGAATATAGGTAGACAAGATGTACGATATAGCGAGCTCCAAATATAAGCAGCTTTGTGAAATTCGTAAAATCGACAACCAGAACTTGGAAGTAAAGGAAGAAGAGCAGCCGATGGAGTGGCAACCCAAAGGTAGAAGAATGATGCAACTTTGTTTAACTGATGGAGTACAAGATGTCACTGCGATAGAGTATACTTCACTTAAACAAATAACTGTACGGCTTTTTCAAATGAATGCAAATTTCTCTCTCTCTTTCTCTCATCCAGATTATCAAATTAAAACATTAAAAATGTTTCTTCACAGGATATATTACTTCCTGGCTATAAGGTAATGATAATTGGCCCAATCCACTGCAGACGTGGTGTTATTCTCCTAGAAGATGGCAAGTACAAGGAAGTTGGTGGAGAAGTGGAAACTTTGTTGAAATCTAACGCACTAGAAAATGTCTTGGCAAGAGCTTTGTAAGATTTGATCCAATTTTCTTCGAGTTTGAATTATTTTTTATTCTTTGACTCCAATTTTTTGATTTCTATGTTCATTCAATTGTCCAGAGGAGAACCTGAAAACCCCGATCCATATAATGATAATGGATTATCCAGAATCATGAATCAGAATGTTCAAAACACAGCATCTAATTCTAATAACAATGACAGTTTTTTCGATGATGGCTTTGAAGAAGCTGTTGACTTGGAAGCAGTGACAACAATTGAACAACGAAGCCAGGAAATTAATGCTATTCAAGAAAACTTTAGAAATACGTATGATCACAAACAAGTAGATAGGAAAGAAACGAATGAAATTATGCAAACCTTGGAAGATATAGACTTTGAACCCATAGAAGATTGGTAAGTATTAAAGACAGTTTCTTAATATAAATTTAATTCAGGTAACAATTGATATCGTTTTTAGTTATATAAGAATTTGCTTCAAAATTCACAATTTTTCTGATTTTTACAAAAATAAATTTTATCGTGCTGTGTAGTGTCCTCTAATTTTACTGTAATAATTTAAATAATCATTCTAGGTTCAATGATTTCCCAACAAGATCTTCACGGATATCGCCGTCACAAATGGAGACTAAGAAAGTTGCTAAGGATGATAGAACGACGGTTGAACAAACAACTTCTGTACTCAATTTTCACAGCAAGTTATCGCTTTCTACGAAATCTATTCAGAATCAAAATTTTTCAGAATTTCCTGATGACGATTTAGACTTAGATGATTGTGACATCATAATTAAGACAAAGGAATCACAGAGGTTCTCTATGCATCTTCATATTATTTTCGATATTTATCTGTTATTTATTTTTTTATTTAACATTTTTTAGTCAACAAGGTGAAAATCCTTTAATGAATAAAACTAAAACATGTCTCTCGTTAAAACCGTCTACGAAATTGACAAATCGTAATGCTCCAAAAGAAATTAAAAAAAGTACATCCATGAAAGTGGCACAAAACGAAAAATCAGTGGTATATAATATTTATAATTTAGTATTTTTTTTTACTATGAATTATTTTTATATTTTTTCTTTTTTAATTGAAACTGCTTTCTCTTCTTATTTAACTTCATAATTTTGCCAAAGGTAAACACTTCGAGAGTACAGCAAGTACCAGAGACTAAAACTATTTCTGATTTCATCAAGCCTCAACCAGCTTCCAAAATCTGCGATGTCTTGCGCGATGTCTTACGCGAGCCTATTACGGAAAAAACATATAAGACAGTGAGAGGTCAGGTGAAGAACCATTCGACGTTAACGAAACAGGGTAAATGCTGGTCGGTAACAGCACTGATCACGGATTACACTTCCAGTGTAGAAGTTTGTTTCGATTCTGAAGTACGTGAGATAAAATGATTTCTTAAGGCTTTTATTGCTGTCATTTATTATTGAAAGAGGGAAATCGTGAGAAGTTTCTTTTCTCATTTCTTAGCCTACGACAAGAGTCCTAACATCGATATTTTTAACTCTCGGGAGATCGTGGTATATCTGAGAGATACATACAAAATATAAATATATATTTATAAATGTTTTTAAACAGCCATTTATTGGATAAACAGTAACTGTTATATGAGTTATTAAGACAGTTGAGACAATCATATTATAAAGTCACAGAAAAATATAATTATGACGTAATGTGGGAGTATTATATGGGGTTTTTATTATTGTTAAAGAATCCCGCACTAATCCTATATGAAATTGGATCCCGGTGAAATCAAATGGTTTTCATATATGTTATAACTTATGACCTGTTAAAGAAAACGTATAAATTTTAGCACAAAAAAATGAACAGTTTTTGTGTACGATTCAATTATAATCACTGAAATCTGACCATAAAACACTCAATAACTTTTAAACGGCTGATCTAAAATTAGTGTTTTGAAAAGGTATCAATAAGGACTATAAGAAAATGGAAGAAAAAGTGGTAGGTCACACTTAAAAAATCCGAGTTGACTTTGCCCTATCTTGGCGACCACCCAAAGTCAAAATGATGAAGCCAGCGGTTAGGCCTTTTTAAATTCTACAACTTTTATCTAAAATATTTTTTTATAAAACTTATAATTTTCCAGATATTTTGCTGTCTCAGAACATTTGATGTTCTTTATATGGTGCCACATATAATTACATACTATCATATATATAATCAAGATACATGTATGTATAAAACGATATTTTGGTACTGAATATATAATATAATTCTCAGAATCTGAATGATGAAAATAACTTAATAAATAATTGAGAAATAATTAATTTTTTATTAAATAATAATTGCATATCGCATGAACACACGCACACGCACGCACGTACGCACACGGGACTCCTAGCGTGTCATTGATCCTGGAGTACGCTACGTATTCTAACAAAGTATCGTTTTATACATGTGTACATATCTTGGACATTATATATGATAATATGTAATTACATATGGAATATAATTATAATATATGTGGCATTAAATACAGAGTGTCTTAGACCCGTATATCCCTTTTATGTCGAAAACAGAGCATTTTAGAAAAAAACATTTCAGACAAAAGTTGTAGGTTCTAAATGATTTATTTAGTGATCTGATTAATCTAATCTTGGGTGGCGTCACCAAGATCAGAGCAATGTTATTTTTTTTAAGTGGAACCCTATTTTTGATTGCATATTTTTATAACACACTTCGAGAGCTTTCTAAAACACTATAATAAAATATTTTTTCATGAAGTACTTTTTGAGTTATAAGGCTTGAAAGTTACAGTATCAACATTCAGCATCACCCAAAGTGTCCGACCGACGGCTAAAATCTCTTGAATGTTGTTCAGAATTATATTCCGAACATTCATTAAGATCAAGGTCACTTCAATCAAAGATCAAAATCAAGATCAAGATTATCCAAGGAGATTGTTTCTTTTATTTTCATTTTTACGTAAAAATGAACTTTTAGTGCAAAAATGAAAATAAGAGGAATAATCTCCAATGGCGTTAATCTTGACAAATATTATCTAGGTCATGATCCTGAATTTAGAGGTTTCAACCGTCGGTCGGACATCTTGCATAATGCTAATGTCGATGGTACTGTAACTTTCAAGCTTTATAATTTGAAAAGTACTTCATGAAAAAATATTTTGTTAGTGGAAAGCTCTCAAGGTGTACTAACAAGGATATGCAATAAAAAATAGGAGATTCCATTTAAAAAATTCAAAGTGACATTGCTGTGACCTCTCCCCCCCTCCCATTGTTCCTTGGTAATGTCAATCAAGGTCAAACTGATCAGATCACTAAATAGATCATTTAGAACCCACAACTTTTGTCTGAAACGTTTTTTTCCAAAATGCTCTGTTTCCGAGATAAAAGGGATGTACGGGTGGTCCGAGACCCGGTATAATCATATAAGGAACATAAAATGTTCCGAGACGGCAAAATATCTTAAAAACTACAAGTTTTATAAAAAAATGTTTAAATAAAAGTTGTAGAGTTTAAAAAGACCTAGCCGCTGGCTTCATCATTTTGACTTTGGATGGCGTCGCCAAGGTAAGGCAAAGTTAACTCGAATTTTTTAAGTGAGACCCCCACTTTTTCTTTCATTTTCTTATACTCCTTGTTGAGATCTTTTCAAAACATTATAATTTTATCTATTTTGAATTAGCCGTTTAGAAGTTATTGAGTATTTTATGGTCAAATTTCAGCGACTATAGGTAAATCGTACACAAAAACTGTTCATTTTTTTTTTGCACTATATAAAACTTATACGTTTTTTTTAGCAGGTCATAAGCTATAACATATATGAAAACCATTTGATTTCACCGGGATCCAATTTCATATAGGATTAGTGCGGGATTTTTTATAATTTGCAACTTTTAATTATAAGCTAATATTGAGAATGACCCGATAGTCGTCGAAATGTTTGTTTAGAATTATTTTATTGTTTATATTATTCTTAGCACTAAACATCTAATTTGACTCGTAGCCCTAGTGTTTTCATTGTTTTATTATAAAATATAAATATAAATTTTGATAAATTGTACACTGAGAAAAATTTCTATTTGAAAATAGACGAACTAGAAGAATCCAATCATATTTTAAAAATTCTGATTATCTCAATTAGAATTATAATAAATTCTATCAGAAAATTCTAATTTTTCTATTTTCAATCAGAATTTTAATGCAATCAGACTTTTTTGCAGTGTTGTTATTGAAATAAAACATTTTCATGCATTCACATTTTTTTTTGTGAAAGATGCAATATTTATTTAAGATATTTGTATTTCTCAGATACACCGTGATCTCTGGCGTGATATTAAGGATCGCGACCTCCCGAGAGTTGATAAACGTAAATTATTGAAATGCTTTTAGATTCTGGAGGGTTTTCTCGGATTCACCGTACAAGAATTTGTGCAGAAAAAGAAACTTGCCAAGATAGATCCTCAAGTAAATAGCGAACTACGATTGGTAAGATGGATATGTATTCGTGATATAGTAATTGTCAAGGATAAATTTTCTGTCAAATCTAAATTTTTCAGAGTCTACGCAAAGCACAACATGATATTCAGAATTTGGATGCTTTGTTGAAATTGGAATTGGTTCAAGATCAAATGCCCAAAATCGTTGGTATCACGCAATTGACTACACAACAAAAGGAAGATCTTACGAAAAGATCTGCATGAAATATGTAAGTTGCGAGAGATACTTGATAATTTTTCAGAATTTAAAAATAATTGATAAACATAATGCTGCAGTCAGAATTATAAATAATAATCACAAAAAATTTTAATTAAATTAGATTTAGGAATTAATTAAAAATATTTTTGTACAATTTATCATAAATGTTATTTGTAATAAATAAAACAATTCAACAGTTAGCATTAAGTTTAAGAACATACGACGTCACTCTCCTATATGTTCTATCCTATTTTGGACATATCTATCTCTAGTTTTGAAACTATCTATTTTAAAATCTGCTTTAATATTAAAAATTAGTTTCTTTATGTACTTTTACGCATAAAGAAATTGTTGCTGACCAAAAGAGAACAAATTCTGATTAACGAATTGCATGATCATAGCATTTATTAACTAGTACATACAATTGATCATCGCGCAGTGGTACATTTTTGTCTCAACTCATTGTTTATCCTCATTTACTTTTCTCTCTCATTTGTTCATACTTTTTTGTCACTCACACGCAGTATATTCTCTCTCGCATTCTTGTTTTCTCACTCATTCAAGTCACGTGATAACAAGTTCACAATTTTTCAATTAATATCGTTTTTTTATTGTTACAATATTTACGCTTATTGCACGCTTTTCCGTGATATAAAATTCATTCCACTTTCTCTCTCTTTCTCTCTCTCTCTCTCTCTCTCTCTCTCTCTCTCTCTCTCTCTCTCTCTCTCGCTCGCTCGCTCGCTCTCTCACTCCCTCTGTTTTCTATTCTCACTCTCTCGAGATATAAAATAAATTGTTGAAACACATCGCACCGATGATTCTGTCTCTAAGGAGGATCTGCAAATAAATTGTTTAAATAACAATAATTTAAATATAAATATCAACGCAATATGTCTCGTGAATTTCTACAATTGTCGACATTGGGCTTCTCTCTCTTTATCCTTGATCCTTTCCTTCTTTCCGTTTTGATGAGCGCAACGACAATGTCGTTTCTTGTCAGTGGCATCAGTCTGCCTTTCGTTGATCTAACTAAAGTTTGTCCTTTGTAAAATAACATTCTCGCAATAACTATTATCGTAGGAAACGCACATTGACTGCTTCGAGCCTTCGGGTCTTCCGACACTGTAGAACTCCCGAATTCGCGAGTTACCGAAGACACAGATCCTCGGAAACTTACATATGTATGATGATCTTAATATTTTATCTTATCGGAAATGCTTGATCGGTGTAATTAAATTTAAGAAAATTTAACTAAAATTCTCGAATCTCTGTAACCTTAACTAATAGAAGCCACTAAAGTTAGATCCTGGATACCTTGAATCCTGGGAAAGTCGAGATCATAAATAAGTCACTACTTATCCTTCAACTAGAGTTGTATCTTTACGTGTTCTAATCCTTATATCATAGCAATTTGAATCTCTGAGTTCGCAGATCTATGGATTCTCGGAAATGCTCCAATCCTCCAAAATTGAGATTATTTTGAAATTTTCCATTCTTTGAAATTTCAAGTTTTCTGATTTTTAAAATTTCAGATTTATATTTTCTTTGATTCGATAATTAGAACTGTGATGATTAATTCTGGTTTTTTGAGGCCTTTCGAATTTTAGAAAATTTTGATCATTTGAAATTTTCAGATCTATGATATAATAACAGTTTCCTCAAGTCATCGATAATCGTGGATTCTTGGTATCTCGGATCCCAGGCTTTCACGAAATTTTCGGATCTTTACGGATCCTTTAAACTCGCATAATGCTCTCTCACTGTCTCCCGACTTCTCTACAGAATGATGAGCTTTCGAGGAATTAGTTTTCGAGGATGTTCGACGAGCGTCGTCATGTCCGAGTCTTCCTCGGCCGGGACGATTTTCTGCAGTTCAACAGTACATGAGAGGCGCAGATCGATCACCAAGACGGCGGCGATGTCCTTGAGATCATTGGATCGCTTCTATCGATCGCAAATATCGCCGTATATGAATCGCGTGGGAACTCTCACGGTTGCTGCCTTAGTATCATGTTAAAATGTGTATTTTATATTATTGTTGTGTGTATACGGTATGTGTGTGTATGTGTGTGTGTTGTGTGTGTGTGTGGGATCAGTCCGCGCACACGTATACTAATAGATATCGATGGAACTGCCAGAGATGAGAAAAGCAGAACTCTAACGGAAATTTACCTACATAATCTCGTCGTTTCAACAATACGGCGCTTCCGACAGTTAATGTGGCGTGTACATGAGTGTATGTTTTCTGCGTGTACGTGTATATACGAAAGGTGGTTTTAGGTGGTTTACCAAAAGGTATAACCGCCCTCCGTTCCTCCTCCCAGGAACGAGCCCTTCTTTTGCGAGAGGGCTACACTATGGCCGGCCATCGCGGCCAGCTGCGCAGCGTTCGCGGCCACTCCGGGTGGCGGTGGTGGCAACACCGGTTGCGAGATGCCGTCGAACCGGGTACCGTCAAAACCATTCTGCGAAACAAATATTAGGAATGTCAATAATTAAAATCTCTTGGAGATGAACTCCGATATCTTTTTTAAGGTCTTAGCAGAAAGGCTGACTTATAATTTTAAGACAGTATTTTATTACTTAAGTCTTATGTATGTCTTTAGTAACAAGAACTGTCTTATATAAGTAATCCAGTAATCGTTGCACTTCATTACAGGATAATATTACAAGAACACGCATGACACAAAACAATTTAAACAATATGTGTTCGTCTTCGTCTTTGTTTGACTTGCACAATAATGTCAATAATAGAACTGCTGGAGTACATTGACATTGATGTTAACTAGAACGTTAAAAGAGCACGGCCATGCTTAGCGCCGAGACACTACCGTGTCTCCAGATTTTGGCAATGTTTGGTAATGTTTAGTGAATATAATTAGAAATTTTGTAGATCCAACAGAGAGAAGAAAATATTAAACACATATTTGTAGTATAATCTATCAACCATTGTAAAATCTCAAGTCCTGTCATAATAATTTTCAGAAATTTTGCTTGGTTTAACCGAAATGCATTTAATCATATACATCTTGTTGATATAAACAAACATTTTTCTCAGTGTAGTGTATAAAAGCTACGAAGTAGTGCATAATAAATACAGAAATCGTATTAGCATGCCGATATTCATAGTTAATTCTTTGAGATTGTCTTAAGTACATTCTTGAGATGTCATAAGCAAATTAGAAGGCTGTAGCATCTTAAGATATTACTTAAGATAATCTTACAATAAGAACAAACTATGAATACGGCTTATAGAGCATTCGTATTTAAATAGTATATCAAATGTGGTCAACAAAAATGAGGCAGCGTGAAAGCGGTCAATTTTCTTCTCTTTCTAACACATTGTAATTGGCTGAATAGAAAGAGATAGAGACTTCGCGTCCTATCTCTCATTTTTATCGATAAATATTATACACGAATGGCACAGTCCATGCTCTATGTCTTCGGCATTTCAATGCATGAATGTATTTTAGAATGCATCAGAGCGAGCATACATATATGCTTATCATTTAAGAAATCAAACATTGTACGATTCCAGCTTATTTTATAACAAATTTATTTTTTGATAATTATTTATGAGATATTGTGATTTTATTGCATGTTTATTGAATTCGTTCATAAAATACCTTACAAAAATACAAAATTATAATAAAATGGATATATTATTCAATTAAAAAACTGTCATTAAAAACATTTTACTAAATCTTAAACTTATTTAAGTTATATAAAGATTATGCTTTTTGCGGGTTTTCGTGGGTTTTCTCCGTGTCCAGATCCATTCTTGGAATGCCTACGTTTCGTGAATCTTGCAGTCCACTTCATCAGGGCGAGGAGCAGCCTGATACTGCATTCCAGGACACGGAGAAAACCCACGAAATGCATAATCTTTATATAGAAAGCACATATATTTTATATAATGACATAAAAAATTATTTTGTGATATACATACATACACATATATATTGTATATGTATGTATTATATATGTATGTATATCACAAAATAATTTTTATTCGAAAAATATTTTATAATTTTATTATTTAAAAAAATAACTGTTTAACTATTTAAAAAAACAACTGAGTGTATGCACCTAAATCAAATACATTGTATATACACTACGTCAAAAAATTGAAAGATCACTTATATTGCCTTCCAATACGGATAGTCCTTCCAAAAGAAATTTTCGAGAAAATGTAACTTTTTAAAATTTATTATAATGAGATAATCCAAAAAAAAAAACATTTTAAAGCTTGAAATTTCTACTTTTCAGATCGGTAATTTAAATAACGATCTAACTGATTTTTTACGGATTTACATGGATATAGATAAAAATTCAAATCTCAAAATTTTTTACGAACTTTGTCAATAGACTAAGAGAAATATGATTTCAAGAACAGCCATACCTACCTGAACACAATTTTCTTATTCCATGTAAAATTGTTCATATTTGGGTAGGTATGGCTGCTTTCGTGACCATCCAAAAAGGTATGGGAATCATATTTCTCGATAATTGATATCAAAATTAAGTAGACAAAAATTCAACTTTGTTGCTATTAATTTTTTTTTTCAGAAAAAATGTACCACTTTGACGCAGTATCCCTTGCACCCTTCTGAGAGGTACGGGAGTCCGCCTGTCTTAAAATAAAGGTATTAACTATCGATTACAACAACATTCACCTTGACGCTTTCAAAAATCAAAATGTGACATTTTAGAAAGCCCATCTCCTCTTGAAGCGATCGCGACAGCGCTTAAATATATATGCATTGTTTTTATGTTTTACATAAAATAAAAGGTTACCCAGTTGCCATACTTGTCTCTATGGGTAACAAAATTACTACAGTGGCCTCTTGGTCTACAAGTTTCCATAAGGTGAATTAAAAATTGCACACAAAAACAACTTTCGAAAGAGTAAATCTTTATCTTTAATTTACGTACTTTTTAAGCATTGTACAATTTTCATCACTGAATTATTTAATATTCAAACAAAAAGCGTTTGTTTGACTTTGATGAAAGAAGACAAATGGAATATCGCTCAGTGCTCAGTATTAAAAAACAAATAGAAAGAGCTAAATTTTTTCTTTAAATCATCTATACTAATGATATGAAAAATAAAGACTTTAAGCTTTAAAATGTTTTTTAAATAATTTCATTATGATAATTTTTTATGAAGTTATATTCTCTTGAAAATTGTCTATTTTTGAAGGGCAGAACAGGTAAATTCTTTAATTTTTGGAGCAATGTATATTTTAAAAAAATTAAGTTTGTGCAACAACATGTTTTAGACTTCGCTAAAAATAATTTTTTTTAGAGAAATACATATTGATACTTACAGGTACCATAATAGTAGGTCTTACAGGGGCGGGTTGCATAGCAGGATAGTATGCTGTTGTCGCAGCTAACGGCGGATAATATTGCAAGGGATATCCTGGTGGGTAATATTGTAAAGGGTACCCTTGCCCGTACATTGGTTGATACATCTAAACGAGAATCAATATTTGTTGATGAAATTTATTGTTCTTCTTCGAATAGAAACGAAATAATGCGAGTGACTCACCATAGGATGTGTAAGAGTTTGATCATACGTCGGCGGCGGTGGGCCTTGCGTCGCGTACAATTGAGGCTGATTGGGAAATACTCCATAAGGGGCGGCGCCTGCAACTGTTGATGAATATTATCAAAATCTTTCAATAGCCAGTATAAAGAGAGTAATACATTTGAAATAGATATTAAAAGAAAAAAAGGGTATTCTTGTTATATCTCTTTCGTTTATTAATGCATTAGAACCAAAACCAACCCTATTCTTAGCATTCCATTTCCCACTTTTAGCCTGACTTCTAGTAGCAACACACATACGTGCACAGAATATGTTATTCTTTTGAGATAAAATAGGATTCACATGATATCTTATCATATCACTATGATTAGAATTCATAATATCATTATGCCTTTTATTTATCTGGTATACCTATCATTACATAATTACATCTTTACACGAGTATTGTGTCAGTAATTAAGGGACACCTTGCGCGTGTGTGTGTGTGTGACATACGTATTTATGTACATATATTTATTCTATACAACATAAACGGGGTGTCCCATCTTAGATTTGACAATTAAATATTTGGAAATCAGAGTATTTAGAGAAAAATGTTTCAAACAAAAGTTGTAGGGTTTTAAGGGGAAAAGAAGATGACCTTGGTTGACTTTAAAAAGGTTAGATCAAGGTTATATAAAATTTTTTAACTTTTTTCAATATTTATTTTTAATTTTAAATTTTTTAATGAAACCCCTTTTTCATTGCATATTCTTATTTTAGTTTATTTTAAGAGCTTTTCAAATTACACCGTGATCGACATTTGCATTATTCAAGATGACCAATTGACAGTTAAAATCTTTTGAATGTTGCTCAGAGTTATGATATTCTGGACATCATATATCAAGATTAAGACAATTGTCGCTGTTGGAGATTATTCCTCTCATTTTTATTTTTAGTATAAAAATGAAATTTTTATTATCTTAACCTTGACATATATGATGTAAAAATCATGACTCTGAGCAACAATATACAAAAGTAATAATATACAACAGTTTTAAAATTAAATCAAATTAATTAATAATGAAACATAAAAGCTATCGCTAATTCAAATTTGCGAATATTTTCATATATCTAATACATTTATTTGTCAAAATAACTATAATAATAAACGTTTTGACCTTTACTGGATCTTATCAGTATTTTTTAAAAACCGTTAAATATATATTGGGTCATCTAAAAAGTAAGTAGGTCAACACCATCTAGTGACAAAAAATCGCGGATACTTTTTAAATGACTCAATACATAAATAGTTACTAAATAACTCACGTCCTTTTATTAAAATTTATATACTATTATACTTCTATGTTAGTTGACTTTCATATGCTGTCTCCAATTGCTACTTTTCATTCTAAGAAATAATAGCGTGTAATTAATTAAAGTTTATCTCTTCATGGAATGTAAATTCTTTAAAAATTCAGGACTTTAACAACAAACATAAAAAAAATCCTTATCTAATAATTATTTAAATTTAATTTTAATAAAAACGTTATAAAAAAATAATATCCAGTAAAGACTTTTTGTTAAAATTATTAAAAATAATATAAGAATTCTTAGCATATATTTCAATTAAATCTTTTAATTTTAAATAATTTATACCTCTTTAAATAATTATTACTAACAATGGTAGAATCTATAACAGATTCATATGCAATAATTAATAACAATCATATAAAAATATTTCATGAAATTAAAAAATAAAAATAACTATATATTAAATTGTTATATATATATATATATATATATATATATATATACATGTATGTATGTATGTATGTATGTATATGTTAGAGGTGCGCGAGTACCGGAAAATACGGGTCGGATCGGATCGAATCGAGTAGGGGATCGATTTTGTATCTCAAAATGAGGTGAAAATTATAAAAGTGAGCGAATTTACTAGAATACTGATTATTTCATTAGTCAACACCTAGTAAATTTGCTCGCTTTTGTAATTTTCACCTTATTTGAAGATACAAAATCAACCCCCAGGTCTCGAATGTTCAAGACCCGCTCGACCAGCCCGACTCGATCACTACCGATTTGCTCCAAGTATGATGGAAGGAATAACATGGTATGTGCAGTTAGACTGTGTCTCTCTCTAAGGTTGTTCCAAAATTGACTGCCAGTATTAAGGCACTATAAACGTGAATATTCGCATATCCGCCATTTTTACTCCTTTCCTCACTTCTTGCTCTGTTTCCACTCCACCGCTGAACTGAGAAGGTTATGGTCGTTACGTTGTTATAGATTATAGCTTCTAAGCTGTTGGAAACTTTGTAGTTTTGTATTTATGTATTTCTGCACTTCGAAATTTTCCCATAAAACTAAGAGATAAAAAGGATATAAAAAAAACTGAAATATTATATATTAACGAAGACAAAAAAATTTATAAAATTCCTTGCGTGTAGTAAACTATATCAATAGAAAAAGTTATTTGATTATTTAAATTTCCTGCGGATAATATTCGTCGACAATTTGCTGTAAAATAAATACATGACTTGTGAATAAAACATCACTATACTTCTTTACAGATGAGAAATTTCAATCCTTTTCTTCAAATTGACATACATATTTGGCATCTTAATCTAGAAATAACCTGAACGCCAGAGAGAGAGAGAGAGAGAGACACACACACACACACACACACCCACACACACACACGCTCACTCGCGCTCTCTCTCTCTCTCTCTCTCTCTCTCTCTCCCCCTCCCTGTCTCTCTCTCTAGGTCCTGCACTAATATTACGATAGATATTCAATTGATTTTGAGAAAAAATGGAATGAAAGCTACAAAATTTCAAGCATACAAATCATAATCTGTAATGATCATCATCCGTCACAGCTCAGTGATGGAATGGGGACAGAAGGAAAAGGAGTGGGAAAAGGAATAAAAATGGCGGACGCGAATACGTAGTCTAGTGCACTATCAGTACACACACAGTGAACACACACTTCTATTATAACACTAGATTGCTAAGTCTTCACTTTTCCTTATATAAAAGTGTTGCCTGCGCGCAATGAATGCGCAATGGAAAACAGTCATATATAGAAAAGAGATGCCAATAGGTCACGTGACCAGCCACTTTGTGATTAGTTTTTAAGTATAAAAAATGTCATGACGATCTAACTTTTAATTTTCACGAACTGTTACGAATCATATGCACTACTATTTATTTTAGATCATTTCAGATTCACACCTTAAGTAATTACTGTAACTTAATTTTCAGTTAAATCATTCATTACTTTAAATTTCGTTCATAACCACGAGTTAATTATATTAATTTAAAGTTAATTATAGCTCGAAATAAACCATACATTATGTTAATTTTTTAAGAAAATATACGAGCATTTTTTTACTCCATTTCAGATTTTCGTTCATTCTGTGTGTGTGTGTGTGTGTGTGTATGTGTGTATATATATAATCTCTTCGAGTATATGAAAGTATATAAACATATGGTATTTTGCGGATGCGTGGTTTTACAATGCGCATGTGCCAAGTAATATGCACAAGTAATACAATACTATCTGACAAAAGAAAAAGTGGGGAATTAGCAGTCTAGTGTTATAATAGAAATCTGTGACTGAAAATCTGTAGTGTATGTAATGTAAACTGTAATATTTTCAGTGCTGGCAATAAATTTGGGGAAAATAGTCTATAGTTCTATCATGGTGGAAGGGATAACATGATGTGTGCAGTTTGGCCAAACCACGCCTACTTTTGCTCCGCGTCTCTCAGTGAGTGATTATCAACTGTGAAACTCGAATATGGGACGGTATTCATAATCCATTTTTATTTTAAAACCATCTTAGATATATATATAATATCTTAAGATGTTAATACAGTTCTCGGATTGACTCACGATATGTTGAGATTGACTTAAGACAATCTTAAATGTAAGAATCGACTATGAATACCGACCTTTCGCGTCATGAAATTGGTACTGAATCTTTTCTTGCACGAGGGTCTATCTTATATGTCTATGGTAAAGACAGTCTTGGCTCTTGACTCATTTTTACAAGTGTTTTAAAGCGATCTCATAATTTCGTTTCATCCAAATTCTCTTTATTTACAATGGCATGTAAGAAAAATTAACGTGTCATTCAGCGTTCTCGCTTATGACGTCATGATTCGATTAATATGGCTGAAGTAACTACTCAGGAACTTGTTTTAGATAAAAATTGTTTGGTTTCAAGGACATATAATCTCGAAGTGAATTATGTCATAGATGTCGTTATTTTCAAGAAATTTCAAAAGTGACTAATTTCTTAAATGAAACTTAATTTTTTCCTTGAATAAAAATTGTAAACTTCGTCGAGACGTTTCCAAAATACTTCCAAAAATTATCTTTTGCATAAGCCATTTCACAGAGAAGAAAAATTATTCTCGCAACTTAAAATGATTATATTCTATTCAACGTAATCATTGTTTCCCATATAAGCAACAATATAAAATCTTTCTTTTTTTTTTTAAGTTTGATAATTTCAATTTTCAATAATACTATATTCTTATATCAATGTTGTAATAATTGTCTGAAAAGCACAATATCATTACTTTGATATTAATAGTAATTTATTTCGACATTTAAAAGATCATATTAAAAAGATGAAACTGTTATTTTTACTTTGACTTTATGTAGTATTAAACATATATATGTTAAACTTCAAGAATATGAACGCTTTTGTTAAACGATATTATCATACAATTACTTGAAATATATTAGTGTTAAAACAAAAATTAATATCATTTAATCAACAATCAATATTAGTTATTTGTTTCTTTTTCTATATCTTCAGATGAATTTCTGTTCCAATCCAATTGTAAGGCATGATACTTTTAATGTCCGGATTAAGAGATCCGATGAAGTGTTTCCTCGGCAACTATCTTTGTATATGGAGAATCGGAATAATCATTTTCATATAAGACATGCACACACCATTCTCTTGCTATTACTAATCGCGGCATGATTCGATACAGCAAGATACGTGAACATTACCATTTTCGAAATAAGACTAAGAAATTTACTATAAAATTTTTTAATCAGATAATTTAATAATATGAACAGTTTT